ATATATGTATATACATATGTATATATATATTAAAAAAAAAAAAAAAAAAAAAAAAAATATATATATATATATATATATAATATAAATATATATATAATAAATAATATATATATATATATATATACCACATATACATACACATACACAAACACATACACACACACACACACACACACACACACACACACAACACACACACACACACACACACACACACACACACACACACACACACACACACACACACACACACACACACACACACACACACACACACAAAAAAAAAATAGGATGAAAACTATTAATAAAAACATGAGTGACACTTCTCTAATAAAGAGTAACAACATTTCAACATATTTAGAGCCGTAATGATCAGATGGATAAACAATAAACAAATGAATAAATACAACCTGACTGCACGTGCGAGAATCTAAACAAATTCAAAATATGCTTTCTCGACAAACCTTCCTTCCGCGTTCCATCCAGAAGAGGCATGACCAAGTTCGAGAGAGAGTCCACTATCACCAGCTTAAGTTTTCCTGCACTTTGGCTGTTACTACCACTACTACTTCCGGCACTACCATCCAATGTTATGCAAGGATGGTAGGTCTTCTCTAAAGCACGGAACAAGCCCCAGATGTCTGCTGGAGATGTTACTTTGATGCGGGAGAGGGCTTTCTCCATAACCTGAGGGAAAATACATTTCTGATCGCTGGGGATATCCAGTTTCATTGTTGAAATCTTATTCTAAGCATCAAAAAAGGAATATATCATATAGTTTGTTACAAATTGCAGTAAACACCATAAAACACAGCTTTAAAATATACCTTTTACAGCATAAATTGCCAAAAATAAAATATTTCCAGAACAATTAATGACCAATTAAAACCTAGGTAGGTAAAATACCTTTTATCAAGATAGTTCTGATATCAATAATGCATGAACTACAGTATTTCTCTTCCTTAAGTTCAAAGATCGAAATTTACTGTCTTACAGTTTTTTTTATTCATTTTCATAATTCTCTATCACAAAACCAAATCTATTGCAACACTACCACTATCAGAAAGGAATCTCTCCCTAAACACAAAACATCAAACTTACTTCCTCTTCCTCTGACAAAGCCTCGATAAAAGGAGCCAATTTAGAGGGTGAGACGCTTGCACTTGGATCAATGAAGAGGGTGTGCAGCCCCTGTCTTAGAGCTGCATGGAGAGCCAGCTGCACACACAAGGAGGTCTTCCCCTCACCCCATCCACCACATATTTCCACCACTTCCCCTGTCATAAGTCCACCTCCAAGCAGACTGTTTAGACTGTAAGAGATGAACTTATATAGAGTGGAAACCACATCAGTCTACTAACATGTTTCATTTGACTTTATCTTCTGTTAACTTGCTAGGAGATATCTTCCTATCTCTTTTTACATTTTTCTTACTTTCCTCTCTTTCCCTTATCAGCATTGTAGATAGTGTTGCTGGTACAACACAAGGAAAAACTGACAATAATAATAAAAGAATGATGATGATGATAATGATGATGATGATGATGATGATGATGGCTGATAGTGATTATCATTACCACTGTTATCATATTATCACTATTATTATTATCATCATTATTATTACTATTATTTATCATTATTAGTCTTTTCATAACTACCACTAAATTTATCATCAATAATATAACTTTTAGAAATATCATCATCATTTTCATGTTTTATATCTTTAAACACCACTGTCTTGATGATATTTTTCATATAATTCTTTTTTGAGATTACTTAAACATGTTCATCAGATCTTCACAATCAAATCTGACTTAATATATCTATGAAGTTAATGCTTAAAACTTGAAAAAGTGGCTCACCTGGTAATGCCTGTTGATATAACTATAGACGATCTCACAGCTTCGTCAAGTACGTCTGTCCCTGATACTGCAAAGGCTGCATGGTGAGCATGAATAATTCTCCTAATGCTTTGCAGATCCTGTAATATATTCTATTATTAATCCTCAAATAATTACTCATGGTTAAATACAACTTGTGAATTAATTTTTTTCTGTACCTTTTGTCATTAACTTTATTGACTCCAGTACTGTTACAAAATCTGTCTGACTCAGTCTAAGATTGCATTTCTGGTGTGTTTCAATATCAATAAGATTAACAAGAATGAACATCTCATTCATAATGGACTCTATGATGATAATTCAGTCTTATAACAAAAAGGAATAAATTTAGCCACAAAGCTCACTCATATTTTGACAATAATATCCAGCATTCAATGTCAATTATGCACAAATGTGACACCCATTCCACTGCATCAGCTCTGAAGATGCAAGTCGTATCTGCATTTGCTAAAGAGAACTTGCATCAAAGCAGAAGAAATGGCTCAATTATGCTGTGTTCGGAACTGCTCGTCCAGCTTGTCCAGACCAGTTGGACGAGATGTTTTGACCCGTTCGGAATCTCTACTATCTCGTCCTGGACAAGTTGTCCATCTTGTCCATCTTGCCTCCTGCAACCTGGGAGCAGGACAAGATGACGTCACAATTGATTTTGTATGTAAACAGTGACAGCTGCAAGTAACCACAAGATACTGGTTGGTAATTTTATGACCCTATATTGGTGTTATCAAAGGATAGTTTTGTGATTCACAGTTGCAGGTAAGCATCAAAGGAGTTACAAAACCTATGCAGCATGTAAAATAAAGACACCGGTATGATAAAAAAAAGTGAATGTTTACATTTGAGCCAGTGGCATTCTGGACAGAAAGGGTCTTGGAGGTTCCGAACGCGGCCCACTTGTCCTGCTGGTCCGGGACAAGTTGTCTGGATGAGCAAGACGAAGAGTTCCGAAAGCAGCATTAATGTCTGGGAAGTCTTGGAGTCTCAAACCTAGTGTGAATACCAGTCAAAATCTATAGCGTTTGTTGTGATACCTATAAAATAAAAGGAAAAAAGATTTACTGTACTGCATATGCCAGTATTTCTATCTTGAACCACTGATTATTCAGATATTTGATTACATTAATCACCCTTTTTAAACAGAAGACACATAGGATAATCTTGCCTTGTAGCTGACGGACGTTTCTCGAGCGAGCGTCTCAGAATCTCTCAACATAAAATCAATGATAGTCTTTATTCCTGCATTTTTCAACTTAGTCATAACTTCATCTGTTAACGCAGGGCACAAACCCGCCGTGAGCCTCATTATCTATTATTTAACGGAAGACTAAAAGATAATGACTCAAGCTTGTAGAGAATAAAAAACCGCTCTACAAAACTCGATCCTGACATGTTTACGTTCGTGTAAAGTGGATACTTGTATGC